ATCCCCGCCCCCACCCCCTCTCCTGAAGTAACTAAACTGCCCCGGAGTCTGCATCCAGAAACCCAAGGTTGCCTGGATTCTCCCATTTACCTTACTCTCCACCCGTTTTTCCAAACTCAGTCTATATACTACAAACAAAACATCCACCCTCACATCCTCTCTTCCACCCCCTTCCTCTAAGAAGGATTAGAACAAGCTCCAACTCCCTCCTCTGGTCTTTGTACTGGCTCCTAAACACTCAGCCTTCACTTCCCCGCCTCCCCCCAACCCTCGCCGCCATTTCAACCCAAGCGTTTCCTAAAAAAGCAAATCTGATCTTACATAGGACACCAAGCCCTTACTTAAACAAACAAAATGGTAAAAACAAAACCTTCAGTTCCTCCACCCATACTGTACCGGTTTTCCGTTTCTTACATGAACTCTCCCGCTTTAGCCATTGGTCCAGGCCTGGCTTTCTCCGGGAAGCATGACCACCTAAGCCCACATGCAGTACAGGAATAGATGTCCCGGTTGTGCAGGAATTAGGACAGTGGTTCTCAACCTCCCTAATGCTGCGACCCTTTAAAACAGGTTGCGGTGACCCCAACCATAAAATTATGTTCGTTGCTACTTCATAACTGTAATTTTGCTATTGTTATGAATTGCAATGCAAATATCTGTTTCCTGATGGTCTTAGGTGACCCCTGTGAAATGGCCCTTCAACCCACAGGTTGAGAACCAGTAGGTTAGGCGCTGTTGAGTGACTTGTTCTACAGCACAGGCAGAATGGGTTCAATCTCAGCCACATGCCGGTTACTCTTTCTAAACCAAGCAGTCAGACAAAGGCAAGGGCTTTGTGGGGAGGGGTGGGGGAGAAATGGATATTTTTCTCAGGACACGGGTGGCCTTTTTGCTAGGAGATTCCATGCAAGTTGCCTGTATATACATAGCAGCTGGACTGTCATCAAAGGACCCATGAACAAGCAGCACAGACAGGTATACTGAACTACACTCCATTTCGTGTATTGGTCCTGAAGTCTAGGAGGGACGGAACAGAGACCACACCTAGGATCAGTCATTGAGTGGGTCTTCAGTCTGTGACCAGATTAGGGGCTTTTTTACATTCAAAGCCACTGGAAAGTCAACACAGGCTGGTATGCTGAGTGGGGCTATGAGTTGGGAATTGGACAACAGAGCTTAGATGCCAGCTTTTCTCTAGCTGTAAGTTCGGTCAAGTCCCACCTCTCTGCCTCTTAATTTCCTTTAACGTCCTTAATTTCTGTATGACAGTCAGATAAATGCATATGATGTCACATCAGCTCCCAACCACCTGCTTTTAAAATTATTTTTGTCATGATATATATGTAATTTAAAAATATTATTTAGTTACACACATACACACACACACACACACACACACACACACACACACACACACACCGAGTTTCTCTGTGTAGCTTTGGTATGCCAGGACCTCTCTGTAGACCAGGCTGGCCTCGAACTCACAAAGATCTGCCTGCCTCTGCCTCCTGAGTGCTGGGATTAAGGTCTGTGTTACCCCTGGCTTTATTTAGGTGTATTTGAGACAAGGTCTTTCTATGTAGTTTTGGCTGTTCTGAGACTCCATATGTAGACTAGGTTGGCCTGGAACTCAGAGATCTGCCTGCCTCTGTGAGTGCTGGGGTTAAAGGTACATGTCCTTTATTCTTTGAGAATCTCATAAAAATACAATTTGGTCATATTCACAAACACACACCCCAACTCCCCTACCTCCTCCCATTCTGGTGTCTTTTGTTGTTGTTAACCTGTTAACCTGTTAACCGCACTGAGAGTCTAGAAAGCTGGCTCAGTGGTTAAGAGCACTGGCTGCTCTTCCAGAGGACCGGGATTTAATTTCCAGTGCCTACATGCTGGCTCACAAATACTTTTAACTCCTGTTCCTGGGAAGCCAACCCCCCTTTCTGGTCTCTGGACACAGTACACAGACATTCATACAGGCAAAACACTCATACACATACATTTTTTTTTTTTTTGTTAATCCAGAGATCCATTAATGCATGGGTGTGGGGCCATCTACTAGAGGATGGCCTATGCACCAGGGAACACACCCTTAAAAACGACTCCCCTCCTCCAGAGTCATCAGTTGTCAATAGCTCTTCAGTTAGGGGTGGGGCCTCTGGCTTGAACTTGTGCAGGTAACCCAGCTGTGAGTTCATCTGCAGGGGTCCTATTGCAACCAGAAGATACTGTTGCACTTTGGTCCTCCCTAACTGGCTCTTACACTTTTCCTTTGTTTCTCGCCTCCTCATCAAGGCAGGTTCTCACTACGTAGGTATGACTGATCTGGAACTCTCTATGTAGACCACGCTGTCCTTGAACTCTGAGCTCTGAGGATACCCACCTGCCTCTGCATCCCAATTGCTGGGGTTAAAAGGCGTGCACTACCACAGCCAGCGTTCTAATTTTTTGAGACAGGGTCTCATGTCGCCCAAGCTGGCCTAGGATCCCGTAAATTGTTGAATGGACTTAATCTTCTGGTTCATTGTCTTTACCTCCTGTGTACTAGGATTACAGCCTCCAGTTTCCACTACTATGAAGACATAAGGCCAGATACTCTTCCACCCATTTGGGCTTCTACAAGGGGCTGAGCCTATGCGCTTCAGTGCCAAACTTCCTTCACATCAGGCTTCTGTCACTCACTGGAAATTTAACATTGAGTTACTTTGGTACTGCCCTGCCACAGCTCCCCCCATGCAATTTTCTCACTTGTGGATTGGGAATAATAAAAGCATCAGTTTAGGGGGTGAGCTAGACCAAGGGGAAGGAGTATTACTAAAGCGCGTGCTTTGTTCAAAGGTGCCATAATGATATCTAATTGCATGCTAATTTAAAAAATAAAAGCCTGGCGGTGGTGGCACATGCCTGCACTGCGGAGGTAGAGCCAGGTGGATCTCTGAATCCGAGGTCAGCCTGATCTACAGAGTGAGGTCTAGGACAGCCAGGGCTACACCAAGAAACCCTGTCTTGAAAAACCAAAAGAAAAAGAAAAAGAAAAGAACCAACTTAGAGTTCACTAATTTGTGTACTTGGTTATTTTATCTTTGCAGTGCTCAGAATCGAATCCTTGGTCTTGCAAAGGATAGGCAAGTCCTCAACCTCCAATGTATTTCCTATTCCTAGGGGTGTTTAATGAAAACTAAATAATATCTGCTTCAGTACTAAGATTAAAGCCGTGTGTTAAGCAACAGGGCGGCAGGGGGTGGGTGGGAAGAGGGCCTTCGTGGGTTCTGCTTTCTTTCTGAAACCAAGCCGAAGGGACATTTTCATATCTCTATTGACATCTTTTCTGTTTCCCATAGAGCCCCCCCTTGGATTTGAGCAACCCCAGTTTAGAGTGGTCAGGGGCCAGCGCTGACCGTCATCGAGGAGCTGGGAGTGGGGTATGGGATTAAGAGAAACAGACCGCGGCTATTTGCTTTCGAAGACACAAGAGAAAGAATGAATGAAGAAGGGAAGGTTGGAGGTGATGGTTCGGGAGTCACGGTGGTCTTAAGAAGCTAAAGCAGCGGCCAAAGCCGCTGAAGGAGCATCTGGAAGGCGGAGAACCGAGTGCTGTTGTTTGCGGGGAGCGGGAATCCCGAGAGGCCGGGGGTGGGAAATGGGGCTGGACCGGCCAGGTCCCAGCCTGCACGCTCAGCCCTCTCTGTGCGCATTCCTGGGCCAGCCCAGCGCCGCAACCCGTCCCCGCTGCCTCCGGAGAAATTGCCAAATTAAAATGAATCATTTGGCCCATAATGGCCGAGGCGCTTATCTGGGGCGGGCGGGCCCGCGGCGGCGCCTTATCTCGGCGGCGCACACGGCCGGTGCTAACGAGGCCGCGGGCGGGAGCGGGATTAGAGCGCGCGGCTGGGCGCGGGCGGGGGAGGCCCAACATGGCCACGCGCGCACCCCAGGGCGCAAAAACGTGAGCATCCCGGCCTTCTTCCCGGGGACTAGCGACAGCCACCTCCCGCGGAATTGCCCGTCCGTTTCTACGGTCCTTCCCCGTGCGCGCCGAAGCCTGGGCTCCCTCTCCCGGGGTTCTGCTCCCCCCGGAGCGGCGGGGGGGGCACTTTCCACGCCGCCTTCTGCCGCCCCTCCCGCTGGGGAGACTCTCTTCCTTCCTTCCCCCTTTCCCCTTGCGCAATAGACAGAAAAGCGCAAGGCGCTGGCGACTTCCATTGCTTCTGGGCTGTGTGTGCGGGCGGCCGGGTTGAGAGTGTGTGCGTGAGCGGCGGGCGGCGGTGGCTGCTCTCCGCGTGGGCTTTTGGCGATAGGTCGTGTGCGGGAGTGTGAAGCCCGCGCTGTTTGGGTGTGGGAATTCCGACGCTCCTCGGCCCTTCTGTGTTTTATTCGTTGTGTGTAAATTACCCCGTTTCTTTTCTCAACAAGGTCGGTCCTTGTGTCGTGGTGTGTGGCCTTGGGCCGGCTTCGTTATGCCGGGCGGGTGTGATCCTCAGCCTGTGAGGTTGTGTGTCTGTGAGCGATTGCGTGTGACTGATGTCGCTGTGTCATGTTGGACAGTGTGCGGGGCTGCCTGTGCCGGCTTGTGGGATAGGGCAGGCTTGTGCTCATCTGCTTCCCTCCTCTGGGGCTGGACCATGTGTGGTCCTGTCCACCGAGAGTCCTGTGCCTGTGTGCCTGTGTCCTTTAGAGGTGCGTTTGCAAATCGCTGGGGGCGGGAGTGGGGGGAGGGCGAGCGAGAGATCGTGGCGCTGGTGGGGGCGTCCGCATGGGGGCGGGGAGCGGGATTTCACATTTTATTCCAAATTATGATGTATTCGGGAGCCAGTGTTGGCTCTGGTGGGAGGACAGAGCCCAGTGAGCGACAGCTTTGTCCGGAGGCCCTCTGTGCCTCGGTGTTGGGGGGGTTCGCTGTTTTGAGGGGGGGTCTTTCACGCTGGAAGCTGAACAGCGCTCACCGAGGCCAGCGTCTTCCAGCGTCCAGGTTTCGCCTATTTCTGGTCAGTTTCGTGGGTGCGTCTGCGGCGGTTGGGGGAGAGGCCGGGAAGGACAATGGGCGCACTTTCCAGGTCTGGTGCCACGGGTGGGGGGTCCTTGGCATCACCCCTGAAGACATTTTCTCAGTCCCTGCCCCATCCTGGCAGGGTCAGACCCCCAGCGTGCGGGTGGCTGCCCTCGGAGTCTGCTTTCCTTGGAAGGACCGCGTCAGTGCCGCCCTAACTGGACAAGAAAGGATTGCCTTTTCTTCTTTACTGTGATAATACCTTCGTTACCACCACCATCACTATTAACACCCCCATTTTAATTAAAACAATCGAACAAAAAGCTCGCCGGCTCGTCCCTTCAGCTGCTTTGGAGGGCGAACAAAGCAGCCCAGTCGTCGCCCCTCCCTAGCTCTGTTTTCCAAGTTGCCAGGTTTGGGGTAGGGAAAGAAAATGGAGAGGTGCTCGGAACGGAGATTCAGCCATAAAGCGAACATTAACCTCAAGTAACACCGGGAACGGGTGGACTCCCCCTTCTTCCCTCCCCTCCTTCCTTTGGATTAGAAAGGAGAAAGAAAACCTCCCGCACCGAATTGATACCCTGGGAGGAGGTAGTCCTGCTCTTCCGCCAAAGCCACAGCAGAGAGAAGGAGCCTTCGCAATTAACCCAAGACTTGGACGTGCCATTAGAAGGTGGACGACTCAAGCAAAACGAATTTAAAAACCTGAGGTGTTGGGGGGGGGGCGGACAAAAGCAAACCAAATCCAGCTACCTCACTTGGAAGCAGCGCCAGGGTTCTTTTGATCCGATTCCCTTTTGCCCTGTTTTTCTCTACAAAACATTATAAGCGTTTCTTCCACCTTCTGCCAATCAAAACCCTGAAAAAATACAGAAAATCGTTTTGTGAAGGTGGTGGGGGCAACAGTGTAGAAATCCCCTCCTTTATTACGCCCCCCCCCCCCCCGCGCCAGTAGAAAGAAAACAAGGAACCCAACTGAATCAGCTACAACCCTCTCCCCTTCAACCCTACAGGGAAATATAGGGCATTTGGAAGCGGGTTCTGCCTTCGTTCTGGACAGGAGGTTTGTAGATGGGGGTCATGAAGGGAATGGCTGGGAGCTCCCAGGTTCTGACCCGGCGACCACAGCCTGAAGAGTCTTGTCTTTTCCACCAAGTACCCCCCCCCCTCCCCTCGCGTCATATAGGGAATTACACCTTCCGCGCTGTGGCGGCCGCAGGAGCCTGGGCTCAGTTTGCCGAGAAAACCCGCATAGAGGAATCCATGCTTAGAAAACAAATTCGGCCATACTGAATCAAACAGATCCGTTAGAGGGTTCGAAAATGTTCTGGGCAGCCTGCCTGGAGAGGCTGTTGTTGTTGGACTAAGTAGTTATTCCTGATTGGTCAGGTGTAGGGTTCATTTTTTTTTTTTTAAATCGGACGTGTTTGGGGGAGGGGGGCTCCAAACACCTGCAAGTTGGAGGCGGAAAGACGTTTGCTATTCTTTGGGCTGGCGGGGCACACGAGGTAATTCCCAGCCATTGACCCCCCATTTTCTCTCTCGCCCTCCCTCTTTCTCTCCACCCCCATCTTTCCTGGAAACTCGCTTTGGGCGCGGCAGACCGCGCAGGACCTCACCGCTAGCTAAGTAACTGCTGGCCTCTCAACAAGAGTGGGGGGAAAACACAGATCCGGGTTCCTACCTCGACCCTCTCCATCGGAGGAGTGGAGGTCCTAACCAGAAGGGCCGGTCTCTCTAAATATGCCCCAGGTGAGTTGCGGGCCCCGGAGTCTTTGAGTTGCGGGAGGGAGGGGGGCAATGTCTGTGGAAACAGTGTTCAGGTTTGCGGACTGGGGTGGGGGAGGTTCAGAACTGAGAACATTGGAGCGCGGGAGTGGGGGACCAACCTAGGCTAAGAGCCCGGGATCTGACTGCCACTAGCTGCCTCAGGTCTCCAGCAGGGCCCTTTCCTTTTTCCGGCCTCGGATAAAACCAGCTGGTTGGATTATGTCCTCCAGGCCGCTCCCATGGTCCCGGTTCCGTGCACATTTCACTAGGACCGTAACTTTGTTGTGGCTACATCCGGGTGGCGCGGGCTGTGCTTGGAGCTCAGGCCGGAAAAAGGCCAAGGCCATCCCGGCTGAGGCCTGAGGCCTAGGAAGCTGTGGGGAACACATCTCCACTCCCGTGGTGGCAGAGACAGTGCGTCGTCATTTGGTTGTGGTGCAGGCTTTGTGTTTCTCCACTGTGTCTTGCGCATATGAGTGCCGATGGAGGGGTGGGAGGCCAAGTCTAAGGCGGCCGGCGGCTTTCTTTAAATAATAATAATAATAATAATAATAATAATAATAATAATAATAAAATCCCGAGCTAGGATTTGGGGTATTAGAAGTTGCTGGGGAGGATGCAGTGCGTGTCCCAGAAAGGAGCTGTCCCTTCTCCTTATTCAGGAACACATTGTCACATGCTAGCTGGCGTTGGTTGGGGCAACTAGGAGGTGAAGATCGGGCTTGAGGCTGGAGCCTGGGTCTCTGAAGCACAAAGAGTTGCAATGGTCGAAAGCTCCACTAGTCAATACTGGTCTAGTCCCGAGCTTTCTCCCTTTCCATTCTCCCTTAATTAAAAACAAATGCATAAAAGCCATTCTGTGTTAACCTCTGGGCTGCTGGGGGTGATCCTCGTCTTAGAGTGGGCTAGGTTTACCCAAGGTCCAAGAGCTGAGCATGGAAAGTTCTACTGGAAACCTTGACGATAGGGATACTTATATCATCTGGCCAGGCACTGGGGGCCAGGGTCAACTCATCTGGAATACGTGTTCCCTTTGGCTGTTGGGAAGAAGCTTCTGTCCCCATTGCAGCAGAATTAATCAGGGAGTATAAATGTGCCAGCAGGAAGCTGGAGCTCAGTTAGTGCAGTGCATGATGCTTGTCATTAGAAGCTGGAACTAAAGCCCTGGTCACTGAAAGCACACAGATGGTGGTGGCAGTGAGGCAGGGGGCCAGCACCTCTGGCTTGCATATTTCACCAGGGGCTGGTTTACTTTGGGTGCTCTTCACCAGAAGGGAGGGAAGCCAGGGTGGCAACTATCCTTCTGGTATTCTCTGTGTATAGACCTCTTGTCTACACTGCAATTATGAGCTCAATTTCAGTGAAGCATCACAGGGCTATACTGGCTTTGCAACTTGTGGGTAACAAGTCTTGGGGAATTGTGTTATTTCCAGACTGAACTAACCCCAAACAGCCCATGTATCCTGAGCTGCAGTCCCTACGTTTTGGAGGAGGCTGAAGGAGGTTCAATGTCCTTTCCTTAATAGGAGGGATCAGTTCCTATGATAACCCTGGTCCAGAGCATTGCAGTGGCCAAATGAGAGCTCCGTGTATGACACCACTGATTAGCTGGATTCTTGTTTGGAACTGACTTGGACATTTTTGTATTTGTTTTCTGTTTTAAAATCCCCCAGTTTGGGCCAGTGAGATAACTCAGTGGGTCAGGGCTTTGCTCTCAAGCCTAGGAGAGAACAGCCTCTTGAAAACTGTACTCGGGGTTCCACATTAGTGGCTGTGGCATGTGCACCCTCACACACAAATAAGTAAATGTAACAAAAATTAAAATGAAATAAATTTAGCCCAATTAGCTAATCCTGGGAGCAGAAATCTTAGTTTGAACAATTTATAAAGCCTGCCAACGTGGTAATATACATGTTTTTGTCTGTATATGTGCATATGCACATATATCCATAAATGTACACATTGAGGAGATAGGCTCATGTGTAGCCTAGGCTAACCTGAAATTCAGGATTTTTTTTAAATTTTTTATTTATTTATTTTTTTTTTGAGAAAGGGTTTCTCTGTGTAGCTTTGGAGTCTTTCCTGGAACTCGCTTTGTAGACCAGGCTGGCCTTGAACTCACAGAGATCCGCCTGCCTCTGCCTTCTGAGTGCTGGGATTAAAGGTGTGTGCCACCACTGCCCGGCGAAATTCAGGATTCTTTAGCACACTTCTTGATGCTGGGGCTATAAGCATGTGCCACCACATCTGGTGAGTTCGTTGCATTTTTATTTGTAAAATTAAAGCAACCCACAAGTACCTCCAACTTGGGAGTCTTAGAGATTTTGTGTCTGGTCTGTTGCTGGGCCAGGTGCCATCTGAATGAAGCTAGGTGATGCAAGAATCCTCACACTGTTAGGAAATGAGTGGCTGGGCTCATCTCAGAGGTGTGGTTAGAGCCTAGGAAGTCTCTGGGCTCCAGAGTTTATATGAGAAGATAATGTACGGTGAGAGCTGAGTTCCACGTTATGGAGAACACCACGGTGTGTGCACGTGGGGCTTCATTAGAAGAATGCAAGGGCCTTCTTGATCTTCGTCAGGAGAGGAACCCAGATCCTACTGGCTTCAGGAGTATTTTCCCTGCCTGGGTTCCTGGTGTCTGTCAGGTTTCCCTTCCAGACCTACCTTCACTTTTGAGTCCAGCTGAGCAGAATGGGGTGGAGTGTGCAGGATGGTAGGGCCGGCATCAGGATCGGCTGGGGGTGATCCTGGTCTTAGAGTGGGCTAGGTTTACCTAAGGTCCAAGAACTGAGCATGGAGAGTTCTACTGGAATCCAGGATCAGCTCCGTTCCTTGACTTCTTTTCCCGTGGTAGGGTAGCTGCTTGCAGAGTACAGCATGGATTTACTTAGTGTAGGCAACCTCTCTCTTGGCAGGGAGACTGTTGGTGAAGGTGGCTGGCTTTTCTGGGATACTTCTGACATCTGTCGATGAACAGAGCCCAGTTCTTGCAGCCCCCACACCCCCACTCCATCACCAAAATGTTTCTAGGTGTGTTTATGTGTGGTGCATGTGTGTAGCAGCAGATCGGGAGAGGTTGCTAAAGCACCTTGTTCGGGCCCGGATAGATTCCCCGCCAAAACTAAAAGGGGGGCGGGAAGGATACGCTCGCGCAGGGGATTTGTCCCCTCCCCTTCCCCTGTGGCCTAAGAAGGAGGGACTGGGTGATCTTTCTTTCTCCGTGCATTTCCTTCCTCCTTTTCCCTTCGATTTTGTTTCGCTGGCTGTATTCCTTTTCTTCCAATGTTGCAGTCATCTTTCTCCAGCTCTGTTCCTACCCCTGGACCCTGCGTATCTCCGGCTTACCCAACCGTCTTCTCCCAATTTAGAGACACCACCACTCCGCTCCAGCCCCAGGCCCGCAGGCCCTTCACGCCACCAGGGTGGGGGGGTGTGTCCACGTGGCGCTGAGTTTGTCCGCTTTTCCCATCTCAGTGCGTGATCTCCTCTCTGCCCCTTACCCTGTTACAGGATGACGGAGCGGCCGCCGAGCGAGGCGGCACGCAGTGACCCGCAGCTAGAGGGACAGGACGCGGCGGAGGCCCGCATGGCCCCCCCGCACCTAGTCCTGCTCAACGGCGTCGCCAAGGAGACAAGCCGCGCAGCCCCCGCGGAGCCCCCGGTCATCGAACTAGGCGCGCGCAGCAGCGCGGGGGGCGGCCCCGCCAGTGGGGGCGGTGCCGCCGTGAGGGACTTAAAGAGCCGCGACGCGGTTGCAGCCGAAGCTCGCCATCGAGTGCCCACCACCGAGCTGTGCAGACCTCCGGGACCCGCCCCAGCGCCCGCGCCCGCCTCGGCCCCGGCAGAGCTGCCTGGAGACGGCCGCATGGTGCAGCTGAGCCCGCCCGCGTTGGCAGCCCCCGCCGGCCCTGGCCGAGCGCTGCTGTACAGCCTTAGCCAGCCGCTGGCCTCGCTCGGCAGGTGAGCAACCTGGTCCTCTGCTGCGTTCCGGGTCCAGGCGGGGCTCAGGGAGAACGGAGGTGGCTAAAGACTCCGGGACGAAAGGGCGCAGTGGCTAGAGTCCCCCCCATCCCCGGAACTAGTGGTAAAGGGGCCCCCAGTGAGACAGACTGGCCGGCAAGGACCGATGAGACTTCAGGGAGCACACAGTTGTGTCTAAACCGCGGGTGCTTGCCTGCTCCTTTGAGGATGCAGGCGTGTGGGTGGGTGTGAGAAGCAGCGGAGGTTGCTGAGAACCGTGTTAGGTAGGAGGGATTCTTTGAGTATGAGTTCCAGGCCAGTGTGTGAATGCCCCTCTGCAGCAGAGGTAGTGTTTGCTGCAAAGGGTGACTTCTGGAAGCTGCAGCGAAGAAGAATCTACGGGGGCGGTTGCTGAGGGCAGCTCTTCTCAACCTCTGCTGGGATGCGGTGAGCAACACTGCCATCCGAGCCTAGCCCTTTTGCCCGCCCGTTAACGCAGTTAACTGCGTTGTTGGGGCCACCCGGGTATAATTGGTGTGAGGACACCGGCTTCCTTGCTGGCCCCCTGTGGTGAGGGCGGGTGAGAGGCAGGCAGAACGAAAGGCAGGCGAAGGGAAGGAATTCTAGGAGAAGGCGCAGTGGCAGAGCAGCCGGGAGAGCGCTGTGGCGAGTTAGCGAGCCAGTGTTTTCAATCTGTGCTCCATCCAGGAGGGATGGGGGGGGCGGTGATGGTGGAGTGAGATTGATTGCAGGAGACACTAGGAGAGCTGTGTGGTGTTGGAGCTGCCTATCATCACTCCGTGTGTGTGTGTGTGTGTGTGTGTGTGTGTGTGTGTGTGTGTGTGTGTGTGTGTGTTCGCTCGCGGACACACACACTTTCAACATTCATGCTTTGTTCCATGTGTTCACCTGCTTTGCTTCTGTGTATGTTTGTAAGTATGCAGGGAACAGAGCTACCTTAGGAGGAGGGGGACGCAAGACATTGGGGAGAATACATTAAGGAGCCTTTTTATCTTCAACCCCGTTGTTATCCACCTGCTCTTTCCACAGTGGGTTTTTCGGGGAGCCGGATGCCTTCCCCATGTTTACCAACAACAACCGGGTGAAGAGGAGGCCCTCCCCATATGAGATGGAGATTACCGATGGTGAGTCTACACTCATCCCTCACCCTGGTTAGAGCCATCTGAGTAGGAGCGAGGGGACAATGCAGATATCTCACAGAGGTGAGATGGCCACCCTGGAACCCCAAACTGCTAGAACTCTGCACCCTGGAGCTGAATTAGGACTAGCACTTAAACCAAATCTGTAGAGTCCGTCATCACATGTAGTTCCCACTCTAGGCTTGATCCCTACACTTTGTCAAGGATCCAGGGAGGCTAGACACACTTCAGGTCCCCAGCTCCAATTCCTAATCTGCAGGAAGTCCCTGAACTGCATGTCAAATCCACTGTGGAATCTCTGGCTGGAGTTGTGCCTTTTAAGAGTTTCTTCCCAGGTCTGTCTATTATGGGACCCCTCTGTCTCTCTTCCATGTTCTGGGCTGAGAACAAGGATGGCTGACTGTGCTATGGAATATATATAACCAGAGGTACTCAGCACTGCTGGGGACTCTCTGAAATACTCTTTGACTTGGAGTGGAGTGGAGATTTGGAGACCCGCCCACTCCTCCCCAGGTTGACCTGATGGTACCAGGGCAGGAAAGTGGACTGAGGGACTCAGGCTAATGGTGGAATTCTCAGTGCTGCTGTCTGTCTGGAGCCCCGGCAGGAAGTGTGCTGAGGCTGGAGGAGAGCTGGGATGGAGGCTGGGAGCCTGTAGAGGGTGTATGTGGTAGAACTTGAGCTTCTAGAGAAGGTTCTAGAAAGTGAAGGGCTAAAGTCTGACAATACAGAAGAGAGACACTAGAACCCACAACAGCCCAGGATACTGACTTACAGAATAAAGAGCAAGGTTGTCTGATGGGTGCTTCTGGATGAGACAGAACCTGATGTAGGTGCTCCTGACTCCCCTCTCTCTTTCTGTTTGTCCAAAAGCTGTCAGGGGACTGTGAAGTTGTGTCCACCCAACACTGGGGTCTCCTCAACACAGGAGTTCCATGCGTCTCATCCCCAGCTTGACTCCCAGCACCAACACATTGCTAACAGCTATCAGTCACCCTAGGGATATGAAGTGAGGTGGTCGCAGCTATCATTCATTGCTGCCATTTGTTGGACACCTACTGCATGTATCAGACTTTTTTGTATACTTGGTCTTCGTGTAATTCTCAACACAAATCCATGCAGTCAATTTTGCTTCTATTTCACAGATGAAGAAATTGAGTCTCAGAGAGGTTAAGCAGCCTGCTCAGAGCCATAAAGCCTAGACCTTAATTATAGCACTGACCTTCAACTTTGGAATAAGTTCTGGATTCATCCTCACCCTCTCGAGTCTGTCTGTCTCTCACTGTGATGACGCTTATAATGCCCCCTGCCCACCTAGGAGCTTCCACCAGCTCACGAGCATTAGCCATGATGCACAAAAGACTGGTCCTCCTATGTCACAGTGGGGAGACCCCCTCTTTGGTCTAGAGGTCTGGGCTTACCAAACTGCTTTTCTGAGGCAGTTCAGTGTAGGTCTGCCCTGTAGGTTTGTGATGTTTTTCCCAGTCTATATGTGACCCTTAAAAAGCTTCAGGGAACTGCAGGCAAGGCAAGGGCTGAGGAAACTGTGGGGGGAAAACAGAGTGGGGGGACAGGTACATGCAAATGAGATAAAGGGACCACCAAACATCAGGCATCTACTTGGTCAAGTATGTCCCAGACTGAGCACTGCCTCCATCCTTGGCCCTAAAGTGACCAGTGGGTTCAGATGCCCTTCCCTCCCTTCTTCCCTCTCCCCAAGTTTCCAATCTGAGCTCTGGACCTAGTAGTTACTGGAAGAGGATAATAAGTAGGACCCCCAGGCTGGGCTATCCCTTCTGTATACCAAACTTCCTGAAGATTGTCAGGGCCTATGGCTTGTGGTAGCAGGGAAGACTGCTACCACACTGGTGGAACCTCATGTTTTCCCTACTCTGAGAATCCCAGGTCATGCTGGAATACTTGACGCACCTTGGTTGGGTATTGCGCGTACATATGTGCATTGGGGGCAGCTGCTGTCTAGAAGTCTTCTTTTAAAATGTACATTGGTGTTTTGCCTCATGTATGCTTGGGGAGGGTGTCAGGTCCCCTGGAACTGGAGTTACAGACAGCTGTGAGCCGCCATGTGGGTGCTGGGAATTGAACCCAGGTCCTCTGGAAGAGCAGTCAGTGCTCTTAACCAATGAGCCATCTCTCCAGCCCCCTACTGTCTGGCAGTCTTAGAATCAGCATGATAATGATGACTGGGGCCAGAGGCCTTCCTTCAGGCATGGCTGGCGTGGGTGTCTTCTATTCCTTTCCTGGGGTTGAGGGCCTAGAGGTTTTTCCTTTTCCTTCTGCTCCCCTTCCCCTGCCCCCCCCCCCGAAATCTCCTACCTGCCACTATGATATGCCACTTAGGAAACATATACTAAGCCTTCACTTGGTGTTCCTGTGTCCCCTATAACTGAATTTACACCCTTCTTACTTAGGGACTTAGGAGACAGGGACCTGCCTCCTCTTCTCTTATACCTATTACTCCAGCCAGGCTGACACCAGCCAGGTTTCTACCTCAGCGCCTTTGCGTGTCTCATTCCATCCACTTGGAGATTCTTCGTCCTTTCCTGCATCTGGATGGCTTTGCTGCAACCTGGAATTTTGTTTGCTTTTTAGAATAAATGCTTTGCTAGGCACCTTAGCTGAGTAGAGTAGCTTCTTTGCATCTTTTACTGGCCCGGCTGCCCTTTTGTTGTGTTTTTAGTTTGTTTGTTCCTTGTTCTTCACCCTCCATCTTCATTAAAAACGTAAACTCCTCAAGGGTAGAGCCCTGCCTGTCTTAATCTGCCCTACTTAATGCCTACCGTGGTGCTGGTTGTTAGTGAAAACCTGGCGAACAGACAGTAAGAGCTATCTCTCACTTAGTGAAGACGGGAGCAGAAGCGGTTATTGTAGGGGCTTTACCTGTGTGATGATGTATCAGCCATGGAAACCATCTGTGATCTGAATTACCAGCAAGGTTCCCAATGTGCAGATGAGGAGGTTGTGGCAGTGAGTTCTGGTCAGAAATTGAACCCAGATAGTCTGGCTTCAATCATCTTCTTTTAGTGTCTAAGATCTCTTGGCCTAAGTGACTGAATGAAATATGGCTCTCATCTAGCTGGGCATAGTGGCACACACCTTTAATCCCAGCACATGGGAGGCAGAAGCAGGCAGATCTCTGTGAATTTGAGGTCAGCCTGGTCTACAGAGCGAGTTTCAGGACAGCCAGAGATACATAGTGAGACCCTGTCCCAAAAACCAAAATGAAGAAAAAAGAAAAGAAATATTAAATGCTACACAGCCCATAGGAGGAGCCCAGAACAGACAGTTGTTCATGGAAGGTGATGAGGAGGAAGAGGATAGGATTGTGAGGTTAGTTAGATAGGGCTGGAGGGATGTAGATCTCAGAGATGATGTATCAACTGGACTTATAGGATGAGTTTCTCAGTAGAGAAGCCCTTTGAAGGTCTCTTCCTGCTTTTAACATATGTCCTTCCATCTTCAGGTCCTCACACCAAAGTAGTGCGGCGCATCTTCACCAACAGCCGGGAGCGATGGCGGCAGCAGAATGTGAATGGGGCATTTGCCGAGCTCCGAAAGCTGATCCCCACCCACCCACCGGACAAGAAGCTAAGCAAGAATGAGATCCTTCGCCTCGCCATGAAGTACATAAACTTCCTGGCCAAGTTGCTCAATGACCAGGAGGAGGAAGGCACCCAGCGTGCCAAGCCTGGCAAGGACCCTGTGGTGGGAGCTGGTGGGGGTGGGGCAGGGGGTGGCATGCCCCCTGAAGACCTTCTACAGGATGTGCTGTCCCCCAACTCCAGCTGTGGTAGCTCTCTGGATGGAGCAGCCAGCCCGGACAGTTATACAGAAGAACCAACACCCAAGCACACTGCCCGCAGCCTCCACCCTGCCCTGCTGCCTGCCACCGATGGGGCTGGCCCCCGGTGATGTGTCTGGGGCTGCCCAGGACCAGCAGGCAGGGGCCCTTAGGCTCCTGGGTTGCTGGGCCTCAGGGCAGTTGGGATGAGAAGCAGGGCAATGTACTTGATGAACTTCCCTTATAGTCTGAACTTTGGGAAGTCCCAACTGATCCTGGGCTGGTGTTTCTGTTTCCTGCCTGGAAACAGACGAGGAAAACGGAGTGAAGTAGTAGGTACTTTATCTGAAGATGGCACAGTCTTCTCCCTTTTCCAATCCCCAAGACTTCCCACTTAGAGGCTCAAGTGTCACTGTTTTTGGTCTAGAGTTTGTGAGCCTTGTTTTGGACAAGATCCGGGGTTGTCACCCATTACCTGAGGCATCCAGCAGCCTCTGCCTTGCCTTTAGCCCATCCCGAGCTGGCTGGGGTGGCTTTTGTGGCAGCTTCTGTTCAAATATATAGGTACCCAAGAGCTGCCCATTTCTTGAGCCCCATCTTCACCCAGGTCCATGTTGATCCATCCAGCTTGCCAGCTGCTCCGGAGAGTCAAGCCTCGAGGTGCCTTCTTCAGGGCCTGGTTGGAAAAGATGGCCAGTGAACAGACAGCCTGCTCTCAACTAGCTGGGCCAGAAAACCCAACAGCCCTTCTTGCTCCGGGAAATCGGAGCTCTGCTTTCTCCCCACTGAGACTTGCCTTCCTATCCCACAGCTGTGAGGACCAAGTCAGCAGCCTGGAGCATGCTCTGTTGGGCTGTGTGCAGGCACAGAAAGGGAAAGTGACATTAGAATGAAGCAAAGCAAGAGTGTTGGGGGCGTTGGGTTTCACCTCCTGCACATCACTGTTCGTGCAGGGGAGTAAATGATACTGCGCTGATGCATTGCATGTTGGTGCTGGGGTTATGCAGTCCATGGGCTTTTCCCTGGAAGCTTCCTGTTGCAAGATGTCTGTTGGCTGACGGTCTGGACTTCCAAGTGGAGTACAAACTGTCCCATAAATACTCCATTTGGGATTCTGCCTAACAAGTTGCTGGTGGAAACTCTGGGCCATGATACAACCCAAGATGCAACCTGCTGCTAGGGCAAGGAATCCAGTCAGAGGTGAGGCCCTGGCTCGAGACCTGAGCATGCCAATTTGCTCAGCCCAACTTTAAGAACGTTCCCACCACGCAACTGCAGGCCCCACGTGTGTACGTGGTAGGTTGGATTAATGCAACGTGAGTGCCCCCTCTAAAAGCTGTACATGAAATTTCTGTAAAGCAAATCCTTCTCCTTCATCTTTTAAAGAAATAGCCCCTGCAAGTCATTTTGTAAAGTGGAGGATCCTTTTGTGGTATGGACAACTGCCCCATTGTTTCTTTCCTGTGTCGACCCTGGTGGTGGGACCGAGTTTTCTTAAAGCTAGGCCTGCCTATAATGAAGTTCAAGCCCATGAACAAACTGCACTGAAGTCCTGTGTATCTGCCATTGTACCAGCACCACCTAGAGCTCTCTCTCTCTCTCTCTCTCTCTCTCTCTCTCTCTCTCTCTCTCTCCCTTTCTCCCTGGGTTTTGCCTTTGAGTATGAGAAAATATCTGAAGACCCCATCATGTAATATAAGAGCCCATCACTTTCCTGTTTGAGTTTCAGGACCATGATGGGGCCTGAGTACAGACTTAGGCAGACAAAGATGGATCCTGCTTCCCTCCCTTCCTATTAAGTACTGGAGTCCCCACGGCCCTGGGACAATATGGTCAGCTACTGAGGCACTGGGATTCTTTGTCTCGTATCACATACATATCTCCTGTCACATGCATTACCATGGACATTAAGGTTGGTGTCTTCTCCTTGCTTGGGAGTTAGTACAAGGAGTCTGACCCGTGTGAAAAGGGAACAACTGTCCTGAGCTCAAAGGCTGTGTTTGCTGCTCAGTGGGATGATGATTTAGGAATGAAAAATGTTGATCTGTAGGTGGATTTTTTTCTGAGAGAGATCACACATTTGTTGGGAGCTTAAGCTATGATTCCCTTTCTCGGCTGTGTAGCGACACTGGAATGGATCCACTAGGTAGTGGGGTCTGTAAAGAGCTCTGCTGTGCACTAGGGGTGCAGCGCAGTGGGAGAGCAGCACACATGAGGTTTGGGGTTCAATACCCAGCGCAGACACACAAGCCTCATTACCCTTACAGCTGACCCCACAGTGAGGTTCCAGCCGGAGTTCAGGCCCCGGCAGTTGACATTTGTGTAATTTAGGTTATAAAGTACTTTCCCTTGAACTCTCCAGATCCTCATTTCCCTAGATTAAACTTAATTACTCCCTGATTCCAAGGCAAGAGACAGGAGTGAGAAAGGGAGAGAGATTGGGGATATGGACAGCACCTCCAGATTGCTGTACTCCCTAAGGGGCTGGAAAGGAAGGACTAGGCTTTTGGTCTTTGTATGATCTAAGGCAGACCCCGAATTCTGTTTTCATCTTCAATACCCCATGTCTTTCTTCCTTTGCCTCCTCCTCACCCTTGAAGAAATGGCAAGGTCCCAAGAACAATAGCTGCACAAAAGGGGAAAACGTAAGCACGAGAAAACATTCGAGGAAAACAATGGACAAAAGGACTAGAGAGAATCCCATATTCCAAGAATAATTCCCGTTTATTTGTGGTGGCAAGTGACAAGATGGTACAACCTTTTTCCTTTTCCAGAAGCAAGAACCAAGGGCACGGCAACTGTAGTGAGCTGACAGCTATTTTGGCCTTTTGGGTGGGTCTAGCCATGCTTGGGATCCCAGTGGTACATGACCCTCTGCAGAAGGCTTGCCCCAGCCTGTGTACATAGCACGCCATGTCTGTGGGCAGGCCCAGCACTTTCCGTCAGTGTCGTACTGTATGTGATGAACTGTGTTGGTCTCTGCATTTTTCTGCAGAAGAGGAGTGACTGCTCCGGGTACCTTGATGTTTGTACAGCCTAGAGGCCAACACTGGGGGCGTGTGACTCTTTATTGGGGGGAAAAACAAAACAAAACAAAAAAAATACCAGTGTGGTGATGATGGTGTGTGTATATATATATAAGGTTATATGGGGAAAATTTCTAAATAAAAGTTTTACAAAGGGGCCTGGACTCTGTGCTTGCACTTTTCATCCTAGAGCCCGAGAACAAGGACATTGAAAGGAAAAGCCTGGGAAGGCTCAGTTCCACTCCTCTTAGGTAGTGGGATCCAGCTCTGACTCTCAGAACAAGCCTGTAGGGAGGAAGGAGGCTACCGTGGGAGGGGGGTCCTTTTGTTCCTCCTGCAAGGCTTCCCAGGGCCTCAGGGTCCTGTCCTTGTGTTTACAGCTCTGAGCAGCCTGGCAGATAGACCTCTCTATTGGGTTAGCTTCCTCCTTCCTGTTAGATGTTTCCCTGGTTGGGTCCATTGCTCGCAGTGAGGAATTAGGACAGACAAATAAGATGTTACCCACCATTGGTGTCCTCAGGTTTCCTGATGACTCAGTGGAGGCTGCAGCTTTTACACCTGGTCTTTTTTTTTTTCTTTTTAAGAGATTTAAATTTTTTTTTTTAAATTTTATTTTATATCTATGGGTGTTTTGCTTACTATAAGCAGGTCTGCACCAAATGTGTGCAGTGCTCACAATGGCCAGAAGAGGGCGTGGATCTCCCTGGAATTGGAGTTACAGACAGTTGTGAGCTGCCATGTAGGTGCTGGAATTTCATGAATGGAATTTGAGACAGACTGTGGGTCTTGGGGAGGCCATTGCACATGGACAGTAGACCCCCTTGGGAGTTTGTAGGGTGGGCACCTCCAACTAAGTGTAGCTTCTGTTTTCTTATTTAATAAGCTTTTGCTGAGCACCTGCTCTGGGCAAACACTGTTCTCTTGGCAAGGGTTCAACATTGAACAAAACAAACACAGGTGCTCTTCACTACAGCCTACATTCTAGAAGGAAAACAGGGAATGCACAAACACACACAACTAGAGTTAAACAGTTAGAAAGTGTGTAGTATTAACCCAAAGTTTCAGGCCAGCTTGGGCTACATGAGACAGTCTAAAAAACCAAAACCAAAAGGTGTGGTAAGGAACAAAAGGGGGCAGATGAACAGAGATAGTTCAGGGAAGGCCCTAGGGTGCCATCTTTTCCATTCAGGGTCAGAGGGTTCCTGGCTTCAAGGGCAGCGTTGTCCTAGGGACAGGATTGGGTCTGTCTACCTGTTACGCGGGCTAAGAGGCTGTGCAAAGGCTTTTTCTTTCTTCCTCTCTGGACCTCAGTACTCATCCCCAAAGCTAGAGACGTGGACACTAGCTCAAATTGCCTCAGCAGGGAATTCAATGGTCTCACAGTTGATTCCCATCCTGCTTGTCTCACTTCCTTCTTGGCTTCTATTCACCTCCCAGAGGGAAAGGGTAGGATTCAGCCTGGGTGTCAAGATCTGACCCAGCCCATTGGGAAGCTCCTCAGATATGCCTCTGGTCCACAGCAAAGATAGAATGATTTGGTCTTGAGGGTGGGGAGAAAAAATAGATCTTAGGCTCACAGACTTGAGTGGCAGGATGAAGGGATTGCCATGGTAGGAGAGAAGGAAAGAGGATAGGGAAGAAATAATAGTATTTAGGGTGGAGGAAGTAGCCAGCCATGTTCAGAACAACTGAGGAGTCATGCCAGGACCAACTGAGCTAATCAGTTTTAACAACACGGATGGCTGATGCCTGGGAGAGGGGCAGAGACAGCAGCCTGCGGGTCCAAGGACACCCCTCCCCATCTCAGAAGGATTTCCTCAGGAGGAGCAAGCCTTTCCATGCAATGGGGACAGAGAGAGCCCATGGACTCTGGCCACCAAGAGAAAAAACAGGCTCCTAGAGATCATCTGTGGAGAAAGAGACCCAGAGAGAAAATGTCTTTCTAGGCCTTGTATCCCATAGTGACTAGTAGGCAGGCTAGGCCTCCTGTCCCCAAGACAGTGTTGTCCCTGATGCCCAGAATCCCTGATTCCACAAGCAAAGAAAAGTACCCTGAGGCCTTGTCTGAAATATTTTTGATCTGTTCCCTCTTATTACCACTCTATTTTTTGTTGTTGCTGTTGCATTTTTGTTTGTTTGTTTTTGTGAGACAGAATCTCATGTATCCCAGGCTGGCCTCAAACTCACTAAGTAGCTGAGGATAACCTTGAACTTCTGATCTTCGTGCCTTTATCTGGAGTGCTGAGATTACAGGTGTGCACTACCATACCAGGTCTATTCAGTAATAGGAGCTAAACCCAGGGCTTTGTGCATACCAAGCAAACACTCTACCCACCGGACCACATCCCCACCCCACCCAGCCTCATTCTTTCGCTCCCATTATACTATCTTCCTTTCTGTTCTAGACTATTTTATTGTTTTATGACATGCCAGTTTTTTCACTTTGCGCTGATTTTTCACAGATACTGGTATCAGCTTCTTTGCCCACTCTCCTTTCATTTGTCCTTGAAGTCCGGGAGGCTTTCCTGACTCCATGGGGTTGGGTGTCTCCTTTGTGTCCCCATGGGACTCCCTGTGTGTTGGCCCTTCCCACCCTAACATTCGCCTACTTATTTGCTTCTGGACTGAAGCACAAGTTTCCTAGAGCTGGAATCTAGTCTGATTAGGTCCTCTGCCCCAGAGTTTAAGTTACAAAGATTTGGATTCCTTTCCTACTGACAATGAACAACCTTCTTCCCCCTGAAGGCTCTCCTTTTCTCTCTGGGCCTCTTTTCTTTCTTTCTTTCTTCTTTCTTTCTTTCTTTCTTTCTTTCTTTCTTTCTTTCTTTCTTTCTTTCTTTCTTTCTTTCTTTCTTCCTTCCTTCCTTCCTTCCTTCCTT